ACGTTATGTTATACCCAAAATCTTAAGGACCAGTAACATAATTTTCCTTTCTTTTTTCATTTTGTCCTGGAGATTAATTGGCTAGCTGCCATTCACATATCGATGTCTTCTATATACCTGTCCTCAATAATGTGTAAACATTGTTACAACTGCTTTGCCTTCAGTTAGACCCTAATTGGAGATTCTTCCCCCAAACAGTTATTTTGTCCAGCATTACACGTTGTTTGTAAAGTCATAACTTGGAGTTTTATAAAAAACCATTAGAAACATATTTACACCGAAATGCCAAGATATCCTGTATAGTTTGGTCCAAATATATCTCTGCACGAGTAAATACTTAATGGCTCTTTGCAAAACATGGTAATTCTAGTGAGAATTATTTAAATAGTAAATAAACTGAAAACAAAGTTTCAATGTTCTAGACGTTTTCAGTGAGGGTTTACCAATAAAAATTGACTTAACGTCTTTAATTATTTTTTCGCGCTATTTTTCCGCGTCAAAATTCCTTTTTAGGTTAAATGATATACAAATATATAGAAGCCAAATAACACTTTTTAAATATGTACAGTAATCATATTATTTTTTTCCCTACCACATCCACATTTTTTTGCCATCAAATTGAATTTACCCTTAGCAACAGCTCAGGATTTACATGGTTTCCGTATCCTCAATGTGCACATTGCACTCTACACCGTCTGTTAATTTTGTATTTTCTTTTCTCCTACCTTGTAATTAATTTTTAACGTAATTAAATAATTTCACATGAGTTTTCTTGCTATGGATTTTTGTTGGTACACAGATCTGCTCAAGTTCTTGAACCCTATAGCCCCATTGATATAAGTGCATTTTCTATTATTTAAAATACACACTTTTCAAGGAATTACAAGCAAATTATTGTTGAAGTAGGCACTAATATTTAATGAGGATGCTGAATCTAAAATTACCCAGTGGAAGGCTATGTGAGCGGATTACTCCCAAAAGAAGTAGCCAGATCTGTAATTAGTCACAATTGAGTTGTTACCTAACAGTCTTCCGACAGCAATTAATATTGTGCTTGTTATTTTAGTATTATGCAAATCGCAGAGTATGACTTGTTCCTCGCACTCTAGCATAGGTGATGGAATGCAAATTAATAAACTGATGAAGGGCTCAGTATAGGTTTAGGTAAAATGCTCCTCAATTGGAAAATTGGAGCAATTAGTGTCTTTTTAACCCCTTAAGGACCAAACTTCTGGAATAAAAGGGAATCATGACATGTCAGACATGTCATGTGTCATTAAGGGGTTAAAGGAACACTATAGTGTTCCCCCCAACCTTTGTGTCCCAATCCACAGCACTGAAAGGGTTAAATAATCATTTCCTTCACTCATCTAATTCCACAGCTGAGGTGCCTGGAATGCCTTGTTCTATGCTGTTTTTTTAAAATAAGTCACTAACACATGCCATAGTACTGTATATTGGGCAGACTAGTGCACCACATGTATTAGGTATAGGGAAATAATTAGCTTAAAGGGACACTATAGTCAGCAAAACAACTTTATCTTAATGAAGCATTAATTGTGTATAGACCATGCCCTTCAGTCTCACTCCTAAATTGTCTGCCATTTAGAAGTTAAATAATTTTTGTTTTTGTTTATGCAGATGTAGCTACACCTCCCCTGTCTGTGAATGACACAGACTGCATGAAAAAAATTGTTTAATTTTAAATCAATGTTAACATTTTTATCTCTTGCTCTGTAAATTGAACTTTAATCACATACAGTAAGCTCTTGCAGGGTCTGAAAGGTTATAAGCAGTGCAGGAGATAAAGAATTCTATATTAAACATAATGTGCAATAAAGGAAGTGTAAACATTAGATGTATTGCTAGAGGAAGTGTTAAGGAAGACTATACACATTACTTGCAGGGAGGCGTGATTAGGGCTGCATAAACAAAGTGATTTAACTGCAAAATAGCAGAGAATTGAGCAGTGATACTAGCAATGAATTCATATTGAAATAACAAATCTTAATAAAGAAATGATTTCAAAATGCCATGGGATTATTGTACTGTAAATATAAAAAATATGGAGATAATGTCATTTAATTGGTAGTAAAAGGCACATATTAAAAAGTAAAGTGCAATTTTAAAATGAAAACATGATTAATGTAAATGTTTGGCAATGAGGTTACAATGTTATTAGAAAATACATCATGATATTCTGCTTTCAGTTCAAATTCTTACATTTTTGACTGCGATACTTAAGCAAGCAATACATTTCTTTTGAGATGTTATTATAATAGAAATGCATATTGAATGAAGACCGATGTATTTGAGTCCCTATTAAGATTTAAGTGGATTTTAAATGTATCAGAATTGATTTAACAGTTACCCTTTCTATCATATATTAGTAAATTGGTTTGGTTTAAAAAGTGCAAATGAGTTAATATTTCAATAGCTCACAGCCCATTAAGTGTAATTAGTAGAAAATCTTTGCAGATGGCAAAATGAGAAATTAAGTCATTAGGAAGTCAGTCAAAGAACTATAGAAGAACAGTGAAAGGGAGATATTTCTTTCTTGTTAAAAGAAATGATTTTCAGTGCTATTCTACCGTTGAGTATGTTTGAAGGTCCATTACCTTTACATCTTGCGTTTTTTGTAGGGAAAGGTAACACAGCGCTCGTATTAAGTTCCACTTCTCGCAGGTTTTACGACAGCAATTTGTTTGTAGCAAGGTATGATTTGATTACGCTATTCACAGATATTGTTTGGCTTGAGATGATTGTATCTGCTGCAATTCATGTTGTGTAACAAGTCTACAAATATGAATCTCAAAGAAAAAAACACAAAATGTGAAAAGGAAAGCATTGGTTTTTATAACAATATATTTAAACCACTCAAATTTCCATTATCATTTATATTGCACCGACGTAGTCTGCAGCACTTTACAATTATAGAAATAGGATATGAGATAAAAAAGGGCCCTGTTCGAGCAGGCTCCATAATCACCCCTACTTGGATTTAAGAATACCTATAAGGTACCACTGCTTTCCTGTATCCATTTTATACTAAATTGTAAAGGTCAACAAAATCAGAGCTCCTGAGTATCTGTAGTGGTAGCTGATTTCCTGCACTTCCAAGCATTACCTTCGATCAGGAAGTTAATTTTTAAGGGAGTGTTTAAAGACTCTGCTTAACTACATTTGGGGTTCAAGCTTTTAGTTAGGCCCCTCCAGCCCCGAGGATCTGCATTCACTGCAATGTAAATGAGATTGATGAAATATTTAATGGAAGACTCCAGATCTATCTCTTTCCTTAGACTATTGAATGATGACTATCTGAAATTTCCTAAAATCTGCGTACCATGATGTAAAACACTTTCACTTACACAAATGTATAAATACATCATATAAATCATTGTTGTTAGGCAGACAAAGGAAACAATGTTCAGGAGCCAAAAAGAAGCATATGGTACACTGATATTATTATAATTATTATTATTATTATTATTATTATTTATAAATTCCACAGCGCTGCACAATGGGTGAACTGACAGACAAGTATTTGTAACTAGACGAGTTGGACAGTAACAGAGGGATTGAGGCCCTGCTCAGTGAGTTTACATGTTAGAGGGAGTGGGTTATAGCGAGTAATTGAGGGCCCTGCTCAGTGAGTTTACATGTTAGAGGGAGTGGGGTATAGTGACACAGTAACAGAGGGATTAAGGCCCTGCTCAGTGAGTTTACATGCTAGAGGGAGTGGGGTATAGTGACACAGTAACAGAGGGATTGAGGTCCTGCTCAGTGAGTTTACATGTTAGAGGGAGTGGGGTATAGTGACACAGTAACAGAGGGATTGAGAACCTGCTCAGTGAGCTTACATGTTAGAGGGAGTGGGGTATAGTGACATAGTAACAGAGGGATTGAGGGCCCTGCTCAGTGAGTTTACATGTTAGAGGGAATGGGGTATAGTGACACAGTAACAGAGGGATTAAGGCCCTGCTCAGTGAGTTTACATGCTAGAGGGAGTGGGCTATAGTGACACAGTAACAGAGGGATTGAGGGCCTGCTCAGTGAGTTTACATGTTAGAGGGAGTAGGGGTATAGTGACACAGTAACAGAGGGATTGAGGGCCTGCTCAGTGAGTTTACATGTTAGAGGTAGTGGGGTATAGTGACACAGTAACAGAGGGATTGAGGGCCCTGCTCAGTGAGTTTACATGTTAGAGGGAGTGGGGTATAGTGAAACGGTAACAGAGGGATTGAGTGCCCTGCTCAGTGAGTTTACATGTTAGAGGGAGCGGGGTATAGTGACACGGTAACAGAGGGATTGTGGGCCCTGCTCAGCGAGTTTACATGTTAGAGGGAGTGGGGTATAGTGACACAGTAACAGAGGGATTGAGGGCCCTGCTCAGTGAGTTTACATGTTAGAGGGAATGGGGTATAGTAACACAGTAACAGAGGGATTGAGGGCCCTGCTCAGTGAGTTTACATGTTAGAGGGAGTGGGGTATAGTGACACAGTAACAGAGGGATTGAGGGCCTGCCTGAAGTGAGTTTACATGTTAGAGGGAGTAAGTATAGTGACACAGTAACAGAGGGATTTAGGGACCTGCTCAGTGAGTTTACATGTTAGAGGGAGTGGGGTATAGTGACACAGTAACAGAGGGATTGAGGGCCCTGCTCAGTGAGTTTACATGTTAGAGGGAATGGGGTATAGTAACACAGTAACAGAGGGATTGAGGGCCCTGCTCAGTGAGTTTACATGTTAGAGGGAGTGGGGTATAGTAACACAGTAACAGAGGTATTGAGGCCCTGCTCAGTGAGTTTACATGCTAGAGGGAGTGGGATATAGTGACACAGTAACAGAGGGATTGAGTAATTGCCTGGAAGTGAGTTTACATGTTAGAGGGAGTGGGGTATAGTGACACGGTAACAGAGGGATTGAGAGCCCTGCTCAGTGAGTTTACATGTTAGAGGGAGTGGGGTATAGTGACACAGTAACAGAGGGATTGAGGGGCCTGCTCAGTGAGTTTACATGTTAGAGGGAGTGGGATTGAGGGCCTGCTCAGTGAGTTTACATGTTAGAGCGAGTGGGGTATAGTGGCACAGTAACAGAGGGATTGAGGGCCCTGCTCAGTGAGTTTACATGTTAGAGGGAGTGGGGTATAGTGACACAGTAACAGAGGGATTGAGGGCCCTGCTCAGTGAGTTTACATGTTAGAGGGAGTGGGGTATAGTGACACAGTAACAGAGGGATTGAGGGCC